AACCTGGGTCTCCCCTGAAAGCGCCATTTCCTCTCCGGCCCTGTGTGATGGAGGCTGCTCCTGTATTCCCCACGCAGCTGAGGATCCCCCGTATCCTCTCTGTACTCCATCTATGCTTTCAAGCCACCACTTATGTCATTCTTATTAGATAAAATCAAAAACAAAAACCCGTTCATTGTTGCTGCTATCCAGAAATACTACCTCCTACCCCTCCCCCCGCCATTCTCAGTTACTCCCTTCCCATTCACTAAGTCTTTAGCTCACAAGACACCCTTTCCAATCGAGCTTATAAGGTCATCTGTTTGGCTTAGAATTTTCAGTTTTATCCCAATTACAAAGAGCATAGTTGGTACTCAAGGAATATTTGTGGGACACCTGGGTGGCTCACTCAGTCAGCTGAGCGTCAGACTCTCGGTCATGATCTCGGAGTCATAAGATCAAGCCCTGAGTCAGGCTCTGTGCTCAGCGGGGAGTCTGCTTGGGATTCCCTCTGCCTCTCCCTCTGCCCTTCTCCCTGCTCACGCACACACGCTTTCTCTCTCTCTCAAATAAACAAATAAAATCTTAAAAAAAAAATATTTGCTAAATGAATTAGTGAATAAATGAAACCTGGGGCATGGAGGAGGAGGTAAGTTGAGGTTCAAGTCTCATTTTTGGGTTATATCTTTCCTAGTTTAGCAGACACTGATAAGGGTACAGGATAGGCCGAATCTCATCCCTGGATGATTATTATTATCCCCACTTTATAGCTCACTCAAGATTATAGTTACTAAGATGTGGAACTGGGCTTCAAAAATCCATGTCTGACAGCACATCCCATGTTTTTAACTGCCAAAAAACACTGCCCTCCTGGGCGTCTGGGTGGCTCAGTTGGTTAAGCGACTGCCTTGGGCTTAGGTCATGATCCCGGGGCTGTGGGATCGAGTCCCACATAGGGCTCCCCCTGCCCTGTGGCGAGCCTGCTTCTCCCTCTCCATCCGCCTGCCGCTCCCCCTGCTTGTGCTCTCGAACTCTCTCTCTCTAATAAATAAATAATCTTTAAAAACAAAACACTTCCCTCCTGAACAACACAGCTTGCGGTTAAAAGACATGGTTCCTAAAGCTCACTGCATATAAGTATTCTGAATAATTTTCATAGCGTTGACACAAGATTTTGTCATATAATACAAGCAGTAGGGAATTCTCAAAGGAAACAGAAAACTATTTTTCCCCACAGAGATATAATTAAAAGAATATAGTGAAGACCAAAAAAAAATCCAAAACATCTATTTTCAGATTTGTGGGGAATCACTGGGTATAGAGACATTTTAATTAAGACTAGTCCTGTATAATAGGATTTCAAGAATGGAAAGCACCTGAGGGGGGGAGACAATTTTCATGCAGCTCTATCTGTGCAGGACTCTCAGTTAAGGCACCTATGATTTGTGGGCTGAATCTAACCCACTATCTTATTTTTCTGATGGCCCATGAGGTAAGAGTTATTTGTAACAGCTAAGAAAAAAAACCAGACTATCTCATGATACACAGAAATTATATTAAAATTTCAGTGTCCATAAATGAAATTTCATGGGAATACAGACCTACTCATTTGTCTACGTGCTGTCCCTGCCTGCTTTTATGTTACAGCAGCAGAGCTGAGTAGTTGTAACAGAAACAATAAAGCCAATGTTGGCTAAAATGGTCACCCTCTGGCCCTTACAGAAAAAGTTGGCCAACCCATTATAGATCCTTTCTTCTGACTTATCTTTCAGTTCACTAACACAGTCTTCAGTTGTATCTAATCCTGCTAAATCCTATTGAGTTTTTAATTTTACTTAATGTGTTTTTCAATTCTAGAAGTTTTGTTTTTCCAAATCAGATATTTTGCTTTTTATAATCCCCTAACCACGTATATAATACATAATTCAATCTCGTCTTTATTTCTGTAAATATGGTATATCTAATTGCTTTATCAATTGTGTCTGGTAATTCTGACTTCACAAGTCTTTGCAGGTCCCCCTCTGTTGTCTGGTGTTTTTCATGGTTCTCACTAATGGAGCCTTATTTCCTCATGTGCTTTACTGTTAGCTGTTCACTTCCTTGAAAGGTTATTTGCAAGGAGCTCACATCTTCCTCCAGAGCAGGCCTGCATTTGCCTCTGCCAAGACCTTGGCGGCACTGCCAATCTGTAATACCTTAAACTCTCAAATACTTAAAGTTCACGGCTTGAGGTTCCATAGATCACCTGGCTGTGAATATCAAGTGTTGCTTTTTTATTAACTTATTGCCCTGATCCACTCAGAGTTCTGGCAACCTTTTCTGGTTGAGGGGTGCAGGTTTCCTTCTAGTTCCTCCTATGCTGAGTCCTTCAGGGTTCTAGTTTAATGTGGAAAGGATCAAAAGATGGAAAACAGGGAAGAGATACTAGTAGACCTGCAGGCTAGAAGGCGAAGGTCTAACATTTAAACTCTGATTAAAGGGGAGTAGAGAGAGAGTGGGCAGAGGCAATATTTAAACAGATAATGGCCGAAAAATTTCCAAAACGTATGCAGTCCTATACTCCAGAAGTATAGTGACAGATGGTGGCTACACTTGTGATGAACAAAGCATAACATATGGACTCTTCAAATCACGATGTTGTACACCGGAAGCTAATGTAACGTGGTGTGTCAACTATATTTCAATTTTAAAAATCAATTCTGTAAAAAAAATTGTTTAATTTAAAAATATTTAAAAATCTAAAGGAATCCAATCAAGACAAATAAAAGAAATTCTTACATTTATAAATCTATTCATACTTCATACAAGCCTTTCTTCTATTCTTCCTAAAATCTTGGGAGGTAGGTATTATTATCTACATTTTTTCGTAAGGAAAAACTGGTATTCAGAGAACTAAGACAAATTATTTACAGTCATGTAATTCTAAGCAGCAGGGGGAGAATTCAAATCTAGTTCTTCTGATTCAAGTTCAGGTTCTTTCCTGTACATCGGAAGTAGAACACAACACAGCAGAAGGTGACTTCATAAGAGGAGATCCAGCCACTGCTAAGGGATCACCTCCAGAACTCAGAACCTTGAACTTGGAAACTTTTCCCTAGAAGCAGGTAAAAATCATTCCCACACAGCTGTGCTTTCTTCTGAAGATAAGCACCGGACTGGAAAAGTCTTTGCAATTAGAGGCAGGAACATTCTAGCTTGTACCTTAACTTGTGAATTATTCCCCGGGCTAAAGACCAAGTTGAACTCAAATGTTTCATGGGCCTGGCCTGGGATGCAACAGCAAGCCGCAAAACAGCCCACTGTGTACCACCCACCTGTCAGGACAGCAGGACAGAAGCGTCCTCCTAATTCCTCTCCTCACGCTGCTGGAGACAGTTTAAATACTGTAGTTAACAAATCCTAGGTAACATGCCTTTTGTTCATCAATGTGACTTGACTTGGTAAATTACTACATCTTTTCCATTCTGGTGACATTTCACTTGTTTACAGCTTATACTTGATTTCTTTTTCGCCCAGAGCACTAAATTAAGAATTTTTCTAAGGGCAAAGGCTATGGCTTTCTAACATAATTGGGCCCCATTCCCCAGATGTTAACATGTGGCTGACATCTCTCCACTAGCCTGGTATAAAGAGCAGACCATCCTTCCCTTGGGGCTGCCTCCGCGATGTATAAAAGCTGGGAGAATTACAACGCCTGAACTCACAGTATGAGGCACAAGAACCACAAAGCCAGAGGCCAGGAAACAGCCCAAGGCTAGACAATTCAGTGGGAAAGCCAGATAGCCCCAGATTCGATGTCTTGTGTGTAGGCGCAGTCATCACCATCACAAGCAGCTACAGTCAAGGGCTAATGCAAGACAGGAAAGCGAGGAGACACAATTCCCATCTTTCATGTCCGTCTGGTACAGAACAGGGGCCACGGGTGTACAAACACGACTGACAACCGAAAGGAGCTACAGGTGGTTTTGCAACCATTTACTGCAGCTCAGCCATGCAAGAGGTGCCATGCAGGGCACCAACACACAGAATGGATGCAGCCCAATCTCGAGGCATCCCAGCCTAACTGGGGAAGTGCACGGTCACCCACCTATCCTTTGTGCGTCCATCCATGCAACCACGGTCCGGGTTTACCAAGCACCTCACAAAGATATGCCAGCATTGGCTAGGTGCTAGGGAGACCAAGAAGGCCAGAACAGGGGATTAGATACTCTGTACTTGAAAACCCCTATGAATTAATCATTTCAATTAAATCCTTACACTAACCCAGTGAGGTAGGCATACTGGTGTCCTCATCTTACAGATGAAACTGGGCTCAGAGTGGTTCAAGAGCTTGCCCCAAATCACAAAGAGAGTAAATGGCAATCTGGGATGCGAACCAGCCAGGCCTAGCTCCAAGCCCGTGCTCTTAATAAATTGATAATTATTACAGTTGGTTATAGTATGACGAGATCATTGGTGACAGAGGGAGAAAATTCACAGGAAGCATCAAGGAAGAGATCATGAATTTTGTGTAGGGAAGAGGTGGCCTTTGAGTTTCCCCAGGTGAGCAGCAAGGAAAGGGCAGTGCGGGCACAGATAAGAAGCCCATGCCAAGGCAGAGGGGAATGGAGGGTTTGCCTGTGGCAGAGGGATAGGAGATAATGCGGGAGAGGAAGTCTGATCACGGAAGGCTTTGCACGCCAGGCTGCAGAGCATCTTTGCCAGGCCACTGCCTCCTGCTGTAACTCAACCATCCTCTGCTCTGTAGCAGAAGCCTTTCCAGGGCCCTCCTTGTCCCTCGAACCTGGCAGGAGCTGCCTGTGCCAGCCAAATCAAAGGCTTTATGTTTGCACCCACAATCCCATCCTCTCTGGGCCCCTGCAAACAGTACATGCTCCAAGAGTCTGCTGACAGACTGAGGCCAGAGGCCCCAGGGAGTCCCCCAACCGACTCAGAACGGAGCGGGTGACCCTTCGAAGTTGGACCCCAGCTCCCAGAGACATCTCTACCACAGAGTTAAGGTGCCTTCTCATTCTACTCACAGTTTAGAGTCCAGCTTCAGGAGGAAACCCAACCGATCATACTCTGAAAAAGAAAAGCAGGAAATGTCACTGAAGTCAAGCCACTGTTGACACTAGCAGACTGCATTCCCCAGACACAGACCATGGGGACAGACAACTGCTCAAGGAACAGAGCCAAATACATAAGCCACGACTAAATCTAAGTCACAGAACTCCTGCTGAACACCTGTTTTTATGAAGGACCAGATTCAATGCCAGGTGTTTCCCAGAGCCTCTGGGCCCCCAGTCCTATGCTGGCATGTAACTGCTTTCCTGTTTAAATGTGGTACTTGACTGAAATTTACTTAAAACACAAAACCAGACCCCTGGAGAAGTAACAGGGCCAGAAGCAATCTGCTTCCTCTAAGCTCGAATCATAATTTTTGCTGAAGCAGCCGTGTTCACTATGGAGTAAAGGCGTGGCAGCCAAGGGGTCTTCAAATCCATGGCAATGAACCCATCCTCTTCATGACAACCACAAAGAGCTGACAAATCTGATTACATAAAGAGTAGGAAATTGAAAATGAAGTCTAAAAATAAGTTGTAAGATGTTTATGACAAATGATAAATCATGAACAGGTTAAGTTCTTTACATCTTTCCTCATTCTAAAATGAAGCTGAAGTGGTTTTACAAAGTTGTATGAAGTACAAGATTTTTTAAAAAGAAGGTATCTGGGACCAAAGGGGGAAATAAGCATAAGAAAAATAATAAAATACAGCCAGGATAAGAATACCAAAACCGGATGACCTATAAGGTCCTATGTGCTTGCCGGAGGAAGATTATAGATTTACCCCCAAGATTTCTCACAGCTGAAGCTAAATGCAAAGCACTGATAAAATAGTTTCCAGTGTTCATAAAATAAACCAGGAGAATCACAGCTATTCCGCTACTAAGACTTGAGAAGTGTCATAAGATTATTTCTTATATCTTTGTTCAAGGATTGCAAAGTGTGTGTGTAAAGAGTGACTACATCAAAATAAGGCAGCCTATGAATGCAGTTCCCAGTCAGGCTGGCCTCACCTGAGGATAAAACAGAATACCAAGACCAAACAACTAATGGAAAAGACCATGCAGCAAGGCTCTTGAGGAACTCAGGCTTTAATAAGCAATGATGGGCCAAGAGGAGGAGGTTACACATCTTGACAAGTACCTCGCAGGAGCCATTCTGCAAGGCCAAGTAAAGCCCAGATTTGAACTCTTTCTTAAGCAGCAGAGCTGCAGTGAGAGTAATTCCTCTTCTTAAAATTGAAGATACCAGCTAGAACACACAGCCCAACAGAAGCTTGCCTCTCAGGAGAATACTCTTGGGCAGTCAAAGCCTTTCCTCAAAACAATTCTGCTTTTGCTCTAACTCAGATAAATGGATAGGAGACTTTGCTTAATATATCAGGAACCTATAAAAGTCAGTAAGAAAAAAAATGTTTCAATTTTAAAAATAAACTGAAAACAAAATTTGCAAAAAGGGTTAGTTTCAAAGGTTAATACTCTTCCAGCAATCCTATTTATCATTCCATAAAAAAAGAAAATCTCATTAACTTGCCCACACCTGTTGCTTTTCCCCCATGTGCTCATAACCTTGGGGCAACTAGCCTGCTACTGCTCCTCGGACCCAAGCTAGGATGCCCTTGGACATACAATGAATCCACGCTTTGGCTGGTTCCTTCCAGAGACACCAGAGAATATTTTCCCCTTGTTGCAAACTCAGATGTCAGAGCCACGCAAGAACATAACACAAATGAGGGAAGGAGGGGGAATGTGATACTCTCCCATAGTAACTCATACTACTGATTTTAGTTGCATTAAAAACAAATCCTGTTGAAATGTCTTTTTTTCACCATGAATTTTTGTACAGTGGCCATAATGATATATCTATGGATTATTTTCCAGTGGCATCTTAAGTTTTGTTTTACACATGCATATACTAATTGCATATTAAATAGATAAGAACACTTTGCATTTCTAAAGAAATTCCCTTGATGGCTCTCTTGGACTGTTGTTTTCTCTCTTAAGAGACATGAGTACCAGAGATATTTCATTTTACTCTGTAATTTAAGGAAAGGTAACTGTGTGAGCCCAACAGTGATAAATGGCAACTGACACTGCCTTCGGGTCACAGAGCCAAGAGGGAGTGGAGCCCATCTGGAGACTCCATGCCTTATCGAAGGGGGAGCGTCCACCAGCGCCAGCTAACAAAGGCAGTCAGTGATGCAGGCCCAACGTTGCCATGTTCTGGCTTTTTTTTTTTAAGCCAAGAATCTGGATCTTTGAAGGTAAATCTTCTCAATGTGTAACTATTAGCAACAGATTCAAGAAAAATGTAAAGATCATGGGAATTACCCAAAATATGTCTATGGGCAGGATTCAGCCAGTGGGCTCACGGTCTATAAACTCTGTCCTAAGGCTGGCAGCCCATGAGGACTGGACGCGTTTCTCTTTCGTGGCTGCACACAGTAGATGCTCCATAAATATTTGCTGACTGTTATTACCAGGATTATTTGGTCACGATGGTCATATATCCAGATCAAATTAGTCTAACAGGATGCTAAAAAGAGTATTTCAGGAGTGCCTGGGTGGCTCAGTGGGTGAAATGTCTGACCCTTGATTGCGGCTTGGGTTGTGATCTCAGGGTCGTGAGATCCTGCTGGGAGTCAGGCTCTGCACTGGGCGTGGAGCCTGCTTAGGATTCTCTGTCTCCCTCTGCCCCCTATCCCCCATTGCTTGCTCACTCGCTCACTCTCTCTAAAAAAGAGTATTTCAGCCAAGCCTCTGGGATGATAAATTTCAAACACTAAAGTGAGGTTCTAGAGTGAGATGTAAATTTTCAAGGGAAATATCTGAAAGCTTGTTACGTAATTCGAAAGGCCCTCCCTACATCAGATATAAAAGTAACTGGCTATGAGCAATTAAGGAGGGAGAATTTGAACAGCTTCCCTGGAGAGAGCAGTGCTATGGACTCCATCTCACTTAACGGGCAGGATGGGTAGTACTTGTCTCTCCCTCACGCCTGGTGAGGGAAGCTTCACTTTGACCCTTAAAGAGTGGGGAACGTGGTGGACTTCGGGTGCCTGACTTGCACCTGACCAGTGTAAAGGACACAAGTTGGGCTGGATGGAAGGAGAGATGCATTAGAACTGGCCTGCACCCCTAGAATTTGTTGTAGAAAAGGATGTATCAATGAGCTGGTGTGGGTTTGTTTTAGGTCCCTTCCAAAACACCTGCCCAGACAGTGGCCAGGGCCACAGCAGAGAGCAATGGGGGCAGACACCGAGTCCCAGCAGCTGCAGAAAGATTGACAAGGTTCTGGCGAGCGCATTGCCCCCATCAGGGGAACTGCACAGCAGACGTCCCTCGTTGGAGGGGGTCTCCAAATGCCTACCAGAGCACCCCACAAACGTTAGCTTTAAACACTCAACAGCTGAGACAGTGCTAACGGGATCTTAGGTCTTTTCTGCTCCCATTCTCTCTCTCCCTTCCCCACTGATTCCAGAGAGGTCAGAAACCGCAGGCAGCATCTGGGGAGGACTGCAAGAAGGCCAAGGAGGGCACATCCCCTTCCCAGGGTCAGGCACCTGCTGGTACGAAGCTCTGAGTGCAGGGAGGGGAGGTCACTGTAGCTTTGAATGAATTGAAAGCTATGGCTATTACATAAGGCTGGATACTCTAATTTTGGAATTGGTGACTCAATGTGACCATGGGATTTTTATTATCTCAGCGGTATCAAAAAATTCTCTGGACCTCCCACACTGAAAACACTTTAAGGGGACACGGGGAGACAAAATGAAGCCAGCTTTGATTATTCCCTGATGTCTCTTGAATGTTCAATACACTGGTTGTACTAATTTAGGCAAAAAGGGCAATTTAATGGTTCACACAATCGAAGTGTGGAAAGGGCCAGGGTGCAGAGGGCTTCAGGGACCACAGAAAGTGACTGGAACACCACTGGGCCTCCCTGAGACATTACTCTCCCCGACCGGCTTCCTTCCTGTCAGAAAACATGCTGCCAGCAACTTTCAGGCACACATCGCCTCTGAAAACGGACAGAGACTCCATCTCTCTGCTCCTAATGGCAAAACTCCCAGGACAGGGCCTGGTGTGCATCCGTTCCTCACGCCTGCTCTCATCACTGTGACAGGAGACAAGGATTATACAAAATCATGATTCCCACATGACACATGTGGTTAGGAGCATTTACCAGAAGAAGAAATGTACTGTCCTGAACAAATGCAGGCTCTCGGGAACAGCAGGAAGTCTTCGGAAAACTCAGAGCTAGCTGAATCTCCTGGGTACACTAGGTATGGCCACAGACTACCTGAAATGGGCCACTGTTAAAATGGGCAGTGGACTTTTTTTCTCTCATCCTCATTCTGCTGTGGGATTTTTTCTCCCCTCACCAATCTCCTTTTAAAATCTTTCTCATAATGCTCTCTGGCTCACCTCCCTCTACTTCCCAGCAGCCCTGAAGCCTGGCTCTGCCATGTGAGACTTCGCTTTTCCTGCAGCTCTCAAGGGGAGGCTTTCCTCTCAAATGCCAACTTCAGACATGAGGAGGGAAGTACTGATGATGTGCTGTGGTGCTGTTTTCATCACCTATCTTGTGTTTGGGGTTTACTGAGCTTCCTGGATCTACTGGTTTATGGTTTTAATCAAATCTGAAGAATTTCTGGCCATTATTTCTCCAAAAAATTTTTTGCTCTCCCCTCTCTTCAGGGGGGTTCCAATGACACAAGTATTAGGCTGCTGGACATTCTACCACTCACTGATGCTCTATTCATTTTTTTTTCCCAGTAATTTTGTTCTCTGTATTTTGTTCTAGATAATTCCTATTGAAATATCTTCTAGTTCACCACTCTTATCTTCTGCAGTGTCTAATCGTTTATCGGTTCAGTATGGTTTTCATCTCAAACACTATTTCTCATCTCTAAATTTCTTTTTATATCTTATATATCTTCCCGTAATATTCTGATTTTCTTCTACCTCCTTGAAGATAGGGAATATGTTTCAATGTCTTTGCCTACTAATTCTAT